AAAGAAAAAATATTATATTTAACAATACATGCTTAAATTAAGAGGTATTGTCCTTTATTATTCTATACTGTAATGATTAGATCTTACACAATTTATTGCTCTTATCATTTGCTAGTTTGTATATGAACATATTTTTAATTGAACTCTACAGGAAAAAGGAAACTACGATTTTGAATATAAAATAAAGTAGACAAATTTCTCAAACATGTTACTAATGTTAACACAATCAACGAAAATTTTAATACATGATAATTGGTAGATTATCAAGAATCAACAGAAAAGCATAAGGCACTTATAACCTATGAATATCATGTTTACTAATTTACCTATGGTTATGATAATTGCAATTATTGCAACTAATATACCCATAAATTGGGAATCCATAGTGTGATTTGTTAATAACTTCACATGCTTCTCCATTATAGCAGATTTCTTTTATGTTTACTTCGAAACACGTTTCGAATACCTCGTGTGTCCCGTATGTATGTGTATACCACGTTCACGTTCACAGTTGGTACTTTTGTACGTTATCGTTATCGTATGACATGACATGGCACATACAATTTCAAACGTGCCACCTAGCGACTGTTTCCAAATGAAACATCCACCGAAGAAAGATTACTCAAGAGTGGTAGCATTATAGGACTTCGCATTGAGCTATATAAAACAATATTTTATACAGCTCAATGGGACTTCGTGACGCACGAAGACGCACTTGCAATCGCCACCGAAGTAAGGAATAGAAAGCAAAACACTCGTCGGTACTACTGAACAGGCTGAAAAGTGCCGTAGAGATCAGTGTCGGTAAGCCTGAACGTTGTTAATTAAAGATCAGCGACATCTTTTATGACAAGTCCAAATATTTCAGTTTCCATCACATCAAACGCAAATAAGTCGCTATAATTACTAAAGACGTTATGTAAGTTGTTCAAAAATTGTTGAAATTGATGAAAAATACCTCAAGATAATTAAGTGTTGGCTGGTGGCACTTCTGTTGTCTTTGTCTGTCCTCTGCAGTCCTTATAGTGCAACAAAGACACTTGCTAAATGTTTTTATAAATGGCCGTAAGTTTGTTGAATCGGTTGAATCTGAGAATCGGAGCATTGTACACCCGGCGTATTATTGTTGAAGGTATTTATCGAGAAAACTACGCATTAATATTTGTCTTTATACATTCTGATATGATGTTCTTGGAACCAAGTCAAGTCACAAAGTTAAAAATATTTTTAACGTATCTGTGTTGATAGAATAGAGCTAAGTGAAGTACGAAAGGTTATGCAGCAGACATTTATTTATTTTTAGCACTTCCGAATAATAGACAGCTTGCCACGATGTCTGAATCATTGAATGAGGTGCCTGATGTAGACATCGACGGTCACGGGAAGTTTAAATACATTTTAATCAACGTTAAAGACGAAGCTAATAATGTTAACAAGTCCATCGTTAGAGGTTATGCAAGAGCTCAGTGGCATGGTAAGTACCTACAAAATTTAAGTATTAGAAGAAATTGCTCAATCGTAGTCAAAAATAACGATCAAATAAAATGATTGCCAGTTGCATGAGTCTCATGCAGGAAATTTTATTTAGTTGAAAATTATAGAAGGTTTATAGTAGGCAAGAAATTCACTGCATATCATAGTACACAGTCATATTCAAGTAATTTACTATTTACAATACCAAAGATACACTGTACAGCTTTACAATACATAGTTTTTCATGTTGTGCACATGTACAATAAAATACATAATTTAGGCATTGATTTATCCTTAAAATATGCCTCTGGATCGATTTATTTTATTAAGGTACATTGAGTTCTTTAGTGGTAGTTTAATTACATGGAACATTTATGTCGATATGATTAAGAATAAAGTCCAACGATGCAAGACATGTTTCATCTAAAAAAATAGATTTTCAATTTTCTGATCGATTCTCACGATTGACACATGATGAATTTTACAGTACGTCGTTGAATATGTGTACACATAATCTGTAGGCAGTACAATTTCCATTCGAAGGAGTAGCACAAGTAGGAACTGCACAAATCGATGAAAATCGTTTTCAAATCGATCCTACCGAAATTAGAATTTTCGATTGAAAATTATTATTCTATATATTTCGCGCATTTCTTTTTTGTCAAGAATAAAACATTAAACTGCACGCGTGTTACCGAAAGAAGATAGATATATGGATATTAAAATTGAATAATAAATTCACTATGCACAATTCCTGAACATGTTTAAGCCCAATTGTTTTTCGGAGAATAGAAAGAAAACACCATTTCCCGAAACGTTCCTTTTTTTCCCGTCACTACTAAGAGTCTCTTCTGAAACAGCACCAAGCCCTTTGTATACTAAAACCCAATTTACAATTTTTATTGTTCTCTGTTTTTACGTCTTTCGCATCATTGTTCCTTGGTGCATCTGTCGTTTGCACCTGCTCTCAGGTACTACCGCCCTCTTCGTAATGTTCTATAAGATCTACTTCGATGTCTTTGGATTCCTTTAGTTTCTCCTTGATCGGTTCCAACTTGCTTCCTTTATATTTGTGTCCGTTGTTATCTTCTTGTTCTTTGTCCGCGTCTTCATTCCTTTTCAAAACTTTCTCTCTCACCGGGGACGGGAAGCCTAAGTCCGAATCCGAATGGTTGTACATTAGAGTGAAGGGTAACTTGAGGGAGACTTCGCCACCCATCGCAGAAAGTAGAAGTTTTATCTGTAAAAATAAACGAGCTTTATTTTCAAGAATCATTTGGTTTGACCTAGTAAGAAATCGACTACGAATTTCATACAATTGTAAATTAAATCGTGTTTATTAAATTCAGAACATCAAAAGAAGCTGGATATTTCCACATTTAAATGATAAAATAAATGTTTATTTAATACGAATATTTCAAGCCGGTGCGATTAGTGTTTTATTTTGCATAGAAATCCGTAGTTCGCTGATAAGAGAACGTGCAAAGTTTACCTTTACGTAATAGGAAACGTAAATCGCGAAAACGTTTCTGTCCTCTGGACCGTTTCCAGGGCAAGTAATGGTGGAGGCCAAGGCAGCTCCCTCCTTTGAATAACTATCTTCTAGGGCGATCCAATTCTTAGTCGAGCCTTTGATAGGTGTGAGAGTATAGTTTTTCTCTAACGATGCACCAGGTCCCAGCGGGCAGCCCTCCTGCGAGGATAGTAGAGCCACCACATTCTTAAATTTCCCGTTGCTGAACATGCATACGTCCACGTGTTGCACAATGAAAACCTGTGACACAAGTATCGATCGAATTTCAGAGAGAGGGATTTAAACCATCCTTTGTGTATCATGGTTTGTGGAGTTTTAAGAGGATTTGTCAACTTAATAAAAATTGGTTCGCATAATCTCTGTAGAACAGAGCTTGAGAAAATTGTTTTGTCGTTGGGATGGAAAACATGCTTTAAGGGATAATCTTGTTTTTCCTTTGTGCATTTTTTATGAATTAAGTACAGCTTGGGAAGCTTTGTTAGAAAATAGAGGGGCAAATTGTAATTAAGTTGTAATTCCAATTTAATTATGATTTAATGTAGGGTAGGAGTATTTGCCAGTTGAAGAGCAAACGCGATTACTCGTTTTAAGCCTGGTACGAGGTTGCCGTGTGTCAGTCTGTTTGCCAAACTGTCGGGACAAAGTTAACGCAGACGCGTTCAGGACTCGTACGCTAGTCACCGCGTTATCGAACCCGTCCGTTCTCGTTTTCAAACAATGTTCGCCACACTCGCTAATGAACTGTGGCGCAAAGGCAATTGACACCAACGCGATCCCTTTCTACATATAGTCAAGTCCTTCTGTCACCAGAGGAAATTCACCAGCCACCCACTCTCTGTTTCTTTTCAACACATTAAAAAGATTCCTTCGAACACTTTAAATTACACTCATGGACGTTAATTGAAAAATATTCATTCAAGACAATACGTCAATTATTTTAAAAGCTTCTACTTATCTTCAGTAAATTCTTTAAGTAAAAATAGTATCAGAAGCATGTGAGCACATTTTATATTCTTACCCTAATATTTGAAAGTATATCAGAGTTGTAAATGATTTTCGTATTCAAATCGCGTCACACTTAGCATATAAACTATCGGGCTGGAATTGACATGTTCGTCCTTCAAATTTAACTGAATTACGCAAAAAAAGAGTAATGCTAGCTGTACACTTTTCTCAAAAGTTTGTATCTCCCCTCGAATCCAGTTTAAATATTCTGTCAGTGGTAACGTAAACTTCCATCAGGACACATTAAACGCTAAACATGGCATTAAGGGTTTGAGTCGTTGGTTAAAGTCTGCCGGAACGTTCCTGGCTTTAAACGTGATACGCAGTTGGATTACGTACGCGTGTGTATGTCCCACGGAATAAGATTTCGTCGGGTTTATTATGCTCCCTGAGTTGCACACTCCATGCGCAGGCCATTAGTATACATCAACTCGTAATGTAATAAAGACCATTACGTTGTTTTACGAGTCGTTCGATAAATATCTCAGGTGAAAATGAAATTCGTACGTATATACACGATTGCTTTAAAGTAATCTTGATTCGTATTAATTGTTTTTTCGCGTGTTAGCCGAATGATATACTGTAGCAAGTAGCATAGGTCGGCGCGCGGTCGGACATCTATTATGATACATTGTTTTCATTATCGTGTGTGTTATTTTATAGAGAATATTATAAAATACTAAGTCTTGTTAAGTTTTTTTATTGTACATTTTTACGAATTGAAATCACGAGATGAATCAATAATTAGCCACGTCAATTTCATCTATCAATTAAATTCTTAATAGATTGATATGTCGAGGCTTTATTGAAACCACCTACTGCCGATGAAGTAGGTAAACTCGGAATTGCAATCCGATTTAGTTATCGTATGAAAGATGACATAAATTGGTCCTTGAATCAAACATGCGAATTCTCATTAGCGTTTCAATCTCTCGATACATTATACAGTCGGTAGTAGGAGTCCGCCTTACCTTGATCCTTCTAACGGTTTTGCTGCTGTTGTTATTCACTTTAACGTTCACGGTGATCGAATCTTCGTGGGCGTAGACCGCGCGATCCAGCTTGGCTTCCAGGCTGACACGACCGTCGCTCAATAGAAACGGCTTCTCCACTGTGGCGTGTGGACCCGTGTTCTCTGAAACGTAGATCCAATCCACTGATATATCACGTTGCAACATTGATCCTCGACGTCGCCATAAACTAAATCCTTTAATTCCTCGCACTATATATTCTCTATGAGATATTATATATTCTCTATAATTCCCTACTCTATATCCCTCTATACCGTTTATTCTTAAGAGATGTTAACACTTTTCTTAGTATTGAAAGGTAACGGGCAATAGAAAGTCTCTTTTAACAGATATACTTAACACTTATCATCGAAAGATGAACAGTAGAAGGTTACTATTAAATCGACGATAACTGACTAGTAATAAAAATTTTATTTACCTCCGTCATCCGTGATTTCGACAAACGATATCCTGTTGAAAACTTGATTTTTGGTACCGAAGGATGGACTGGCTGACACTGGCACGCTGTACACGCTTGTTACTGGCAGTACCGGTTTCGCAGCCCGTTGGATCACCCTGATGCCCATTCTGATTGTCGTTTTCCGTTGCAGTTTCTCATCTGCTCGGTCAGCTAAATATCATCGTGCAATCGACGATTACGCTATTATCCATAATCTATTTTCAATCGAAATTCGATGTGATTTTTTGTTCGCGCATGCAAAACGCGTCAGATTTAATGTCGACAACTGTTATAACAGGAACGAGGGGAATGAAGGGAGTACGACGAAGGGAAATGAATTGCCAGTGAATCGATTTCTAAAATTCGTAGTGAAATTTGTTCGACAAAGCAAGATCGGATAGGTTTTAACGATCATTTCTTTTTTCCTCTCGGCTCCCGTTCGCGCTATTCCTTTGTTTTTGTCCGCTCCAATTTCCATCGACTGTTTTCATTGATCTTTGCCGCGGTGTAATGTTTTTGTTTCCCCGATAGAATTGCACTTTCAAGCGAATGGGACTGTTGAGCCAAGAAATCTATTCAAGTTTCAGCTTTTCAGAACTTTGTCATAAGTTCACGAACCGTTGCGCGGTTAGATTAACTTTTACCTACCGGCGTATACCCTCACGTCGTAGCTGGTGCCGATGGGCGCACCATTGTATTCCTTCGCGGGCACCAACTGCACCGATGGGGGTGCTAACGGCGTGATTTCCATGGTGAACGGATAAGCGTGGGGACCTAGCCTCTTTATCAATGCATCCTTTAAAAATAAATCAAACCGTTATTCCCTTAGGTCCAACACAAATGAGAAAATTGCAATCAATCTTTTCCATATCCCAATTATTATTATTGTGTGCATGGGTAAATCCTGAAATATCAGCAGTTTTATTTCTGAATTTCAAGAAGTGATGGTCGCAAGCTGGTAGGATTAAATCGAGTTAATATTAGACACATCGTATCCTTAAATGATTTGTTAATAGCTGTGCGACTTCCCACGCGAGATGTTGGGTTCAGATTGTAGCATGCTTGTTTAGAATTAGAGAGATTTCGACAGTTTACGGAAAATTGGAGTGTAGTTTCTCGCTTCCTTACGCGATGACGGATTTATCTTGAGTTTGCGATACTTAGCCGATCGGTGAAAGGATTAACGGACTATGTTTGATCTCTGGTCGTTAATTAATAGAGGTTTCGAAACTTGTTATCTCGCTAAACCGTTCCCAGTCCCCAGGGTAAAGTCGATTTTCCTCTAGAGGACAGTTTCTACGGGAAACACCCAATGATCTTTATGGCTCCGTGGAGAAGGAATTGTCAGAGGGCACTGAACGTACCGAAGCTGTCTCGGAATGGAGGAAAAAAGGGTTGAGACGAACGGTCGATCTTCTCTTTTTTCTTTTCCGATTTTTCCACTTGAACTAACTTCTGTATTGCTTTAATCAATTTACTGTTGGTCCTCATAAGATAAATTGCGATTCGAGAGAACTAACGTGCACGGTTGAAGCGACATTAGAAATAATACTGTGCATGCGGCTCTTATAGAAAGCTAAAGCTAAGCATCAAGCATTGTCAAGATAAGTTATTGTTTGTACGTCGAAATAGTGGCATGACGAAAAAGTTTCAATAGATATTCCTGCGTGAAAGCCCATTCATCGATTCCATACACGTGTACTACTCGCAGTTAGAGTTCCGTTTCACGATTGCGATGACATGTTCATTTAAAGTCCATGTGGGCAAGGTTTTAGTCACGATTTGAAGACAAAGACAGCGAAATCGATACTCCTCATCTCCTTGCTAAAAATAATTAATTATCTTCCGTTCTGTCTCGCGTGAAAATTTCTTCTTAGTCCCCCTTATCTTCGTATCTTCTGCCTTCTTGCTCCTTTTAAAGGTACGTTCAGTTGGAATTTTTGTACGCATCGGTAGAATTTGTGTTGCATTCATAAAATTTGAACAGATGTTGACAACAGAAAAATCTTCCTGTTTCGACTTAACTTACATAATGAAGGAGTAAAAATTTCTCTGTATATAAAAATCGAATCCTTTCAGTATTTCATCCCCGCTCGATTTCTTCTCCAATAGGCAGATGCTCGGCGTCTTCGTATTATACTTTGTTCTTTTTTCTCACCTTTCTGGGCTTTTTTTTGCCCAGTGAAGCCTCTTCGCGCCTCTGTATGCATGATTGATGAGCTACGTAGCGTCTTTCAGCTCTATCGCATTGCATGTCGTCCCTTTGAAAGCCGCCAGCCGTGGAATCGTAACATTTGTAGTCCACCGTGAAACGACATTATCCCGGCGTTTTGAATGCACCCGTGTTGCGCCTCGTTCACCGAGAACTAATCCTCCTGCGATAATGTCGCCGTTAGTACTCGAGAAACGGGCCATTGAGATTTTCACCCCGTTCCTTCCGTACTCAAACCGAACAGTGGAACGAATAACGCAAACATATCGAACCGTGCATTTCCGTTCATTTTAGTATAATATGGGAAAACGTACAGTTGAACGAGATGTTCTAAAGTTAATTGCAGTGTAAATACGATCTCTGACATTTTAACAGAAGAAGAACTTGTGTCGAATTTCAATTCTGGGAATACTGTTTGATTCAAATAATTTAAATGAAGTTACTAAAATATCTGAGATATTCATTTACTAATTAATTTAAATGAAGTTATTAAAATATCTGAGTTAGTCATTTGATAATTATCAATTTAGAATCTTTGCCAAAGAGAGGCTTCTATATTTGTGGATGGGGTTGTATCAACATACATTATCCAGCAAGAATTGTGTAACTCGTATTGCGTAACAGGATCGAGAATCCTTTATTATCCACGGTCCTATTTATATTGCGAAGAATGGGGTTGCGGAAATTGCACTCGAGGGGAAGAGAAAAGGATCGTATACGTTATACCGATGATCATAATTCCTCGTTTCGCACGCGGAGATCTCGGTTAACGGCAACATCATTTTTTACGCGAGCTTCGTCTTCATTTTCAGTTATGAAAACAGACGGAGGCGTTGTTTGTCTTCCGTTGCATCACTTTCTCTTTCATGCTATGTCGCGCGGCAACAATTACGAGAAATGATCCCCACTAGTCAACAGGTGCAATTTTAGGACGAGCAAGCTTATGTAATTGGCCATCGATATTCCAGAGTTGGCCTCCGTCCTTGAAAACTTCATACCACGATCTTTATAACTTTTACCTTGTTCGTGAGTTTCTTTGATGTGCTCTTTAAATACTTCAGTTCCTTTGGAAAAATTCTATACTCTATTTCACCAGCGTTTCATGTTGATAGAAAATTAAATGCTTTACGGAACTCTTCAGCACGAATGAATAGGGGTAGACCAGGTACACAGATATATTTATAGGGAAAAAATATAATTTGCTCGAGCAATCTAGGACTTACGGATTTTCATCGAGAGATTACCATCCCGTGCGGTATCGGGTCGGTTTTTATTTGACTTTTCAGTGGCGATCCGGAAAGTTCAGCGGGCGGAACCAAATTATGATTGATCACTGCCGCTGAAAGGACGTCTAGTCATAATGACTTCCCCATTCGTGTCAATCCTCTCGATGCTCAAGCTTTCCACCATTTCACGTACTGCCCTCGGTGAAAACTGCTCGTTGTCGAAGCAGTTTCCAATTTTATAGAAAAATTTTCTTCCTTTTTTAGCAATTGATTTTTTATAACGAAGCCGGAATAGAATTTTCACTCACTTCCCTAAGAGATTCTACCTCCTTTTTTCGTTTCACGATTGAATTAGTGTCCGCGCGCTAACGCGATTTTCTCTTGCTAAAAACAGAAACTCCCGGGCATAAAAATTAGCGCAACATCACTTAATTTTCCCGTAGTATGCAATAACGTGGTTCAACAATGGTCACGAGCAAAAATATATTCTCTCTCGCAAATACTGAACGCTTTGAGCAAAGCTCCAATTCTATCAACAATTGCCCGTTCGAGTTAATTAGTAATTTTTATCGCGAACATCGATTATCTTCTACAATAAATACATACCATTCGGCAGCAAATGATTATTTACTTTCACTCTATTCTATGAACGTGGTTATTAAATCGCGTCATGGAATTTTTTCGACGTGGGTTACATTTTTAACAATTTTTTCTTGCAAAAATGTGTCTAGTTAAAATTTACATTACAGTACATTTTAATTTTTCATCAAGGAATTAGAGTGCTGTGACTACCATCTGTTTTTATAGAAATATTCTGAAATAATAAACGATTCTCCCTCGAGCATTATGCTAATTTATTTACGACAGCGTAAAAGAAAAATATTTTTCTCACGTCTTCAATTAACGCCTTTATTTTTCTGCAAACGATTCGAGAGTGCGAACAATCCGACAAAGACGTAAACGACCTTTTCTCTTTAAATTCCTGCATCCGTTCTGATTCCGTTTTTACTTCAAGGCTACCGTGCCTACCTTCAAAGGATATTCCTTAATAGAAAGTATCCGATGTGCTTTCCTTCCTAAGCTCTTTGGAGTCTGTTGTCATTTATTTCTATTAACCCTAAGTCTTTAGAAATGAAGAAATCTTTACATCTTGGTCATTTGCGTCATCAAAATGACTCAAAATTTCCTTATGTGGCTATGAAAGGGTAGTTGTTCCTTATTCTAGTTACGTTTCGCAGTGAAGACAGACACAATGGCGACCGAATTTTAACGAGAAGTTGAAGGTACTTCTGCTCGTAACAGGGAACGTTCACGGCTGTTTAAAAAATCGACATTGAAAGCGGTCGTAGTTAGAACTTTCAGACTGTGTCCTTCTTCTTTGATACAGTCAATTCTTTCCATGAATTGAGGAATTTTAACTTCGTACTTGTGAAATTCTTGGACACGGTTAAAACGTTTATTATTAATGTTCTCATTAGCTCTGAAATTTCGTTCGTAATTATAATTGAATCTAGGAGCTTGTATAATCCCAGTAAAGTAACGTGCTGAGCCCTCTTGTATTTTTATGCAATTCTTCTCTCTTTATACCGCAGAAACATTTCACTGCGGAACTAATAATAAACAAACTTACTCGTACTTTCTTATATCTCGGTTTCTTTACGTTTCCTATTGAGTTTTTTTTACGCGTGCAAATTTTAAAAACCATGGAAACCTGAGGAAATTTTTCATTAGTCAAGATAATTTAAAATCCTTTTTTATTCTTCGCGAAATAAATTGATATGCCAATCGGAGGAAAAGAGCAGGCTTTGTTACAAAATAAGGAAGAGAATAGAGCAGGCGCGCAGGATGCAGGCCAGGGTCAGCTCCTGCACAGGATTGCGTCACACCGGTGCACCGAAATATATCGAAGATAACTTTGAAAATTTGAATATATACTGCTGCTTCAAATTATGACGGTTGGTATTTATGGGCTTCAGCAATTATTAATGAAAGATTGTATCAATTATTATGCCAATCAATTTCATATTGAATATTGTATCAATCGTTGTATCAAAAATGTATATCAATTACTGTGTGATTGTATGAAACATTACATTAATCATTATATGAGACATATTTCTTATTTATATATACGTATTTCATTTTTTGTCAAGAGCTGGCAAACCTGTTCGCGTCGCCTGCCTTATTTATGAACAATGATAAAAGTTAGATATATGAGTCTTATTTTTCGAGATGGATCTCAAGGATTCGTGACGTTGGAAACGTGGGATGGGTTGTAACGTTTCATCAGCTGGTTAAAATTAAATAAAGTACGTTCTTCCGGTAACGTGACATCGTACAATTGTTACGTGGATATCC